ATATATATATATATATATATATAAACGAAGTCTAGTAATCGGGCATAACATCAATAAAAACATGAATTTATTTAAAAATTTATCAAATAAATTGTCTGGACTGTAATTTAACTTACATAGGAAAAACGAGACAGAAATAATTCAAAAAATCCCAGACAAGTTAAAACAATGTTTGCGGACCACATTAATACTTTAAAACACATTAACCCGGCTGTACTATAATTCGAACAAAATTTATTTAAGGATCTTTCTTGACTATATTATCACAGATGGCGCAAGAAATTACATAATGACATATGTTAATAATAGGTATGCAAAACTTTTAGTTGAATTGCGCTCTATCTAAATGTTAATATTGAGAGCTAAAACTTTTAGAGAATTTTTTTTATTAATTTGAAAGCATTTGAGCCACTGGGATATTCGAAAGATATTCGAAAATGTCCATATTAAGGACCACCCTAATAAATAAATATATATAAATATACTAGCTAACCCGGCAAATGTTGTTTTGCCATAAAAAATCCGCCTAAATTGATATAAAATTAATAAAAGTGCCAAAAATCAAATATTTAATAGATTTGGACTCTGATTCTTTGACAAATAATTAAAAACTTGTTATAATTTTTAAAATTATTTGACATTTCATACTTCAAAAATTAATTCGCTCGCATCATAGTTTTTTGTTTATTATACTTTTGTCATGTCATATATGTCATTAAAATTTTCTTTCAAATATTATTCATTTGTTAATAAATTAACAATTATTTTAAGTCATCAATGAATAATTATATAATTGTTAAATTCATAAGTTTGGCTAAATCAACACAGGAATATTGTGGAAATAAATATTTTTTTACATAAAGATCTGATTTTTGACATTTGCATTTTATTTCAAATTAATTATAACTGTCAAAATATCTTCTTTTCGGTCAAAATTTAATATAATATGATATAATATTTAGTTTGTCTAGTTTGTTTTTGTCAGATTCCAATGATGCCCTCAGATTGTACTATTCCATTTAAGAGGTTACAATTTTCTGTAAGATTAGCATTTGCGATGACATTCAAAATATATCTTAACTGATATATTAATAATAATATTATATTTTAATTACACAAATTTCTTTGCACTCCGATAAATAATTCCAACGCATCATAGTGTTTTGTTTATTTTAATTTTGTTTATGTCAATTTTTTTTTAAATTAAAGAATAAATTAAATTTTAGTCTAAATCAACGCAGTATCTTTATCTAAATATACAATTTTTTATATAAATATCTGATTTTTTTACATTTGCATTTAATTTGAAAATCGTGAATGTCAATTATATATATCCAATATGCACTAAATTTATAAATGTTAAAATATTTCCTTTTTTGTCGAAAATTAATATAATATGATATAATTTATTTTTCAATAGTGTTTTGTATTTATAATTTGTTGGCAATATTGCCTATAACATAACTTGGAATAATTAATGTATATTTGCTTCTTATTGAAGTCGTTGAAAATTCAATTTTTTTGAACTGTCAAAATTTTGTCTATGATTAATTTTAAATTCAATACGTCGCTTTTTTATTGTGCCTTCTGATTTATAAGGTTTTAATGAAGTTTTGGTATCCGAAATAATTGGTAAGCTAATCAAATAAATATAAATTATAAATCTATTTATCTAATTATTTTCATAAATATTGACAAATGACATTTCGCTTTTTTTCATGTCAACATTTATTTAAATTTGTAAACATTGATTTTTAATTAGATTTAAAACTATAAACAATGATTTTGAATATAACATTTCATCTAATTCGGATATAAATACTGGATATATCTATAAATGTACATGCTTTTGAATTTTATTTTTTGATTTTTTTTTTTCAAAAATTATATATCGAAATTTCCTTAAATTTTGACATTTGTCATTTGTGTTTTTTTTTTTTTGGTCATTTTCTGTCAAAATTTTCAGAAATGCATAAAAATTATATATTTATGTTTCAAATTTCCTTTTCAAAATTTCCTATAACCTAAGTTGGATGTATATGCACACGGTGAGCCAATAAAATTTAAAATCGGTTCAGTAGTTTGGGCGTCCATCGCGAACCAACATCGTTACACGAGATTTATATATATATATATATATATATAATATATGTATATATATATATATATATATATATATCTTATTACTATTATTACCTTTAGGAAAGACACAAATGTAAGTCTCGTTATCCCATCCATCTGCCATAGGCGGATGCATGCATCCGTCGACCAATCGAACACCTCGAATAAATTTCGATTCAGAATGTCTGTACTTCAATCCACAAGAACCAGGGAACTGTGCTGTTAGCGTCGACAAAAGTAGTGTTCCATCTTCTTCAGTCGGAAGCTCAATGGGTTCATCCCCTTCGTCTTCAACCACGCAAACGTATTCAACAGGCATTCTCACCAGAAACACAACATCTGGGGAAGAAAATGGAATAGATACATGTTATAATAGAATTTAAAATCGGTTCAGTAGTTTAGACGTCCATCGCGGACCAACATCGTGACAAAGTTTGTATTTTCTTTGACAAACTCTAAAAAGATTTATCAAAACCCGAATAACCGTTTAGGAGAAGTATAGAATCATACACTCGTACAGAAGAATTTTATATATAAGATATAATATATCTTAATCGTTCATTAAATTAAAAAATTAAAATTTTCTTTGACAAACTCTAGAAAGATTTATCAAAATCCGAATAACCGTTTAGGAGAAGTATCGAATCATACACTTTATATATAAAATATATCTTATATATAAAGTTTTTCTGTACCAGTGTATGTGTTGATACTTTTCCTAAAGGGTTATTCGGATTTTGATAAATCTTTTTAGAGTTTGTTAAGGAAATTTTTAATAATTTAATGAACGTTATAGTTAATTTATTTATATTGTAGAAATGAATGGCAAAAATTACAAAAAACCACCTATCATTGTTTGTCATTAAGGCAATTTGCTGGAACTTCCCGTACTGGAATGAAATGTTCTAAATTAACGGTTATTCGGATTTTGATAAATTTTTTTGAAGTTTGTCAAAGGAAATTTTAATTTTTTAATTTAATGAACGATAAAAATATAGTAATATTGTAAAATGGCAAATATTACAAAAAAAAACACTTATCATTGTTTGACATTAAGGCAATTTGCTTGAACTTTCCGTACTGGAATGAAATATTCGAAATAAACGGTTATTCGGATTTTGATAAATCTTTTTAGAGTTTGCCAAAAGAATTTTTTGATAATTTGATGAACGATATAGATAATTTAGTTATATTGTAAAAAAAACATCATTTTTGACATTAAGGCACATTTTGAAATTTTCGAAATAAACGGTTATTCGGATTATAATAAATCTTTTTAGAGTTTGTCAAAGGAAATATTTAAGATTTAATGAACGATAGAACTAAAGTAATATTGTAGAAATAAATGGCAAAAATTACAAAAAAACAAACATTATTTTTTAACATTAAAGCAAATTGCTGTAACTTCCCGTACTGGAATGAAATATTCGAAATAAACGGTTATTCGGATTTTGATAAACCTTTTCAGAGTTTGTTAAGGAAATTTTTATGATTTATTGAACGATGGAATTATAGTAATATTGTAGAAATGAATGGTAAAAATTACAAAAAACCACCTATTATTGTTTGACATTAAGGCAAATTGATAGAACTTCCCGTACTGGAATAAAATATTTAAAATAAACGGTTATTCGGATTTTGAAAATTCTTTCTAAAGTTTGTCAAAGGAAATGTTTAATAATTTAATGAACGTTATAATTAATTTAATTATATTGTAGAAATGAATGGCAAAAATTTCAAAAAACCACTTATCATTGTTTGACATTAAGGCAATTTGCTGGAACTTTCCGTACTGGAATGAAATATTCGAAATAAACGGTTATTCGGATTTTGATAAATCTTTTTAGAGTTTGTTAAGGAAATTTTTAATAATTTGATGAACGTTATAGTTAATTTAGTTATATTGTAAAAATGAATGGCAAAAATTACAAAAAACCACCTATCATTGTTTGACATTAAGGCAAATTGCTGGAACTTCCCATACTGGAATGAAATATTCGAAATAAACGGTTATTCGGATTTTGAAAAATCTTTTTAGAGATAGAACGATATAGATAATTTAGTTATATTGTAAAAAACCACCTATCATTTTTGACATTAAAGCACATTTTGAAATATTCGAAATAAACGGTTATTCGGATTTTGATAATTCTTTTTAGAGTTTGTCAAAAATAAATGGCAAAAATTACAAAAAACCACTTATCATTGTTTGAAATTAAGGCAAATTGCTGGAATTTCCCGTACTGGAATAAAATATTCGATGTAAACGGTTATTCGGATTTTGATAAATCTTTCTAGAGTTTGTTAAGGAAATTTTTAAGATTTAATGAACGATAGAACTATAGTAATATTGTAGAAATAAATGACAAAAACTACAAAAAACCACTTTTCATTGTTTGACATTGAAAGGAATTGCTAGAACTGTCAATTCACTTGAAATTTGAATTTTGCTGTAATTATGAGCCTAGATAATATTTGAATATAATACACAAGAAAAATGTCATATCTACATTATTATTGCCAAAATGCAGCTGAGATGTGCTCGAAATATGTGAATATGTAAATATGTAAATAATTATTTAAACTAATACAAAAAGTAAAAGTAATCTCAAAAAATCATGTCTGTACTCGAAAGTATAGCATGAACAAAAAAGAAGCTTGTAAATGATTCTTTTCTATACTCGAATATTTAAAGAAAAATATTACAAAAATATTACTAATAATCAATAGTATTATTCGTATCAACCTTATGTTCTCCACATATTTATAATCTTATAGAAATGAAATACATAGAACGTTATTTGTAAATTTTTTGGGAACCTAACCTTATTGACTAGTTCTTTGCTTATATATATATATATATATATATATATATATATATATATATATATATACAGACTTAATTATATATATGGACAAAATAACAGTGACCTTATTTGAAAATTGTTTAGTGTTAGTAACGTTTCCACGATTGTACATTTATAAAGAAGCTATAATCACAATTCTGTTAGACGTTAAATTTCATTATCACAGTAATCATTTCAAATGTGTAAATTGACTTTAATAGTTTATTTCGTGAGAGATTTTTGGTCATGTTCTTTTAAAACTTCATTGTTCATTTGTAATTATTTCTATTAAAATCAATAAATTTATGCCAGTTCTAGTGATTCTTATCAATTTTATTGCAATAATCAGTTAATTTAATTAATTATTCACTGTTGGACAAAATGACATACTTATATAATGCACAAAATTATTTTTTGCTATGTAAAAATTGAAAAAAAATATTTTTTACTATGTTGTAAGTTAGGTCAGTCTCTCCAAAGCCAAGAAAAAAGGTAATTGAAGCCTGTAAAATGTGTTTAGTAATGTAGTTTAGTCTAATTATTTCTAAAAACAAAGCAAAAGATCCACCGATGAAAAGAAAAGTCTTGTTCACTTTTGGGCAAAAGGATTTTGTACTATTTTGTCAGTTAGGTTAGTCCCTTCGAGGCCAAGAAAAATACAATTAAAACCTGTAAAATGTGATTGGGTTTTAATGTTTACTCTAAATACTTCTAAAAACAAAGCAAAAAATCCACCGGTGAAAACAAAAGTCTTGTTCACTTTTGGACAAAATGATTTTGTATATATATTACTACTATATATATTTGACTCTATAAAAAAAAACAATTTCAAATTTACATATTTAGAAATAAAGCATTGAAAATTATGATTTTCTAATGATTGTATCAGTTGAAAAAAAATGCTCTAAATCTTGATTCATGAAATGAATGAAATCCTCAGCGAAATAGTAAATAAAGTAACTTTGGGATATTCTTAGAACACAAAAATTCTGTGTATAGAAGCCCTTTTTTATATATTCTGTACATTGTATGTCATTTATGTCAGAAAATGCTCTGAGAAAGTGATACAAGAAAAATATGTGTCATACATTTGAGTAACACGTGTAGAATTTGGGGCTCCTTGTCAAAATAAAATGCCTGTGCACATTTTGTACTTTTTTGGGGCCTCCTTGGTTCAACACAGATGTTTTGTGTTTAAATCTAAAATTAAGGTTTCAGAAAGCCTTGGCAAAGTAAGATAAAATTCATCAGAATGTCTATGATATGTATTTCAGTAATACTTGAAAGTTAGGTTAGTCTCTTCGAGACCAAGGGAAAAGACAATTGAAACCTGTAAAAGGCGATTGGGTTTTAATGTTTACTCAAACTACTTTTAAAAACAAAGCAAACAATCCATCGGTGTAAAGAAAAGTTTTGTTCAATTTTGGACAAAATGATTTTGTACGATTTTGTCAGTTAGGTTAGTCTCTTCGAAGACAAGAAAAAGGTAATTTAAACCATGTAAAATGAAGAACCAAGGAAAAAGACAATTCCAACCTGTAAAATGTGATTGGGTTTTAATGTTTACTCAAACTACTTCTAAAAACAGACTAAAAGATTCGGTTAAAAGAAAAATCTTATTCACTTTTGGACAAAATGATTTCGTACAATATATTACTACTATATATTTTTGACTCTATAAAAAAAACACTTTCAAATTTACGTATTTAGAAATAAAGCATTGAAAATTATGATTTTCTAATGGTTGTATCAGTTGAAAAAAAACGCTCTAGGAATCTTGATTCATGAAATGAATGAAATCCTCAGCGAAATAGTAAATAAAGTAATTTTGGGGTATTCTTAGAACACAAAAATTCTGTGTACAGAAGCCCTTTTTTATATATTCTGTACATTGTATGTCATTTATGTCAGAAAATGCTCTGAGAAAATGATACAAGAAAAATATGTGTCATACATTTGAGTAACACGTGTAGAATTTGGGGCTCCTTGTCCAAATGAAATGAAATACCTGTGCACATTTTGTACTTTTTTTGGAGTCTTCTTGAAATTAACACAGATGTTTTGTGTTTAAATCTAAAATTAAGGTTTCAGAAAGCCTTGGCAAAGTAAGATAAAATTCATCAGAATGTCTATAATATGTATATCAGTAATACTTGTAAGTTAGGTTAGTCTCTTCGAAGCCAAGAAAAGACAATTATAACCTGTAAAATGTGTTTAGAAATGTAGTTTAGTCTAATTAGACCAAAAGATCCACCGGTCTAAAGAAAAGTCTTGTTCACTGGACAAAATGATTTTGTACTTTTTTGTCAGTTAGGTTAGTCTCTTCGAGGCCAAGAAAAAAGACAATTAAAACCTGTAAACTGTTATTATTTTATGGGTTTTTACAATTATTTATAAAAATTATATAAAATTGAAAAGGTAAGAGACTACCTTGTGGGCAGTGTAAAGATAATCCAGTATTACGAAAATGTAATAAATCTCAAACATTTTAATAACTCAATTTGATTGTGTATAATTTGTTATTAGTAAATTTTTATAAATTGCATTAAAATTTATGTGACTGTAACTTCTTTTAGAAACAAAGCAAAAGATCCACCGGTGGACAGAAAAGTCTTGTTCACTGGACAAAATGATTTTGTACTGTTTTGTCAGTTAGGTTAGTCCCTTCGAGGCCAAGGAAAAAGACAATTAAAACTTGTAAAATGTGATTGGGTTTTAATTTATACTCAAACTAGTCCTAAAAACAAAGCAAAAGATCCACCGGTAAGAAGAAAAGTTGGACAAAATGATTTTGTACTATTTTGTAAGTAAGGTTAGTACATTCGAAGATAAGAAAAATGAAAATTTTTGTTGACATTTCTGTAAAATGTTATTGGATTTTAATGTTTACTCAAACTACTTCTAAAAACAAAGCAAAAAATGCACCGGTGAAGAGAAAAGTCTTGGTCACTTTTGGACAGAATGATTTTGTACTATTTTGTCAGTTAGGTTAGTCCCTTCGAGGCAAAAAAAAAAAACAAAAAACAAAGCCTCTAGAAAATAATTGGCTTAAAATTTTACTCTAACTACAAATCAAAAGATCCACCAGTAAAAAGGATAGTTAAATTTATTGCAAAATCCTCTTTTTATGTTCTGATTCTGGTAAAGGTTCTTTACAATGTACAATTCGTTTCCTTTAGGCCAAAAGTGTCTTCTTAACAATTAGCATCTCAGTATGTCCTTAATTTATATGTCATTTTATCTGCACCATAAGAACAAAAAAGGTTTTTGTAATTATTTGCATTTTTCTTTAATAAACATGTTATTATAGTAGTATACTGGTAGTCGATGAATCTAAGTTGGTCTAAAACTAAAGTGACTGGTTATAATATCATGAAATATAAAAATATCATTAAAAAACTAAAGCATAATGTTATTTTGTCCATACTTTCCCTTTATATATATGTATATATGCCAATATATACACAAATTGATCATTTTGCAATTGTTTATAAAAATGTTGAACCTTTCAACCAAACAACAATGACAGAAAATTGTGTCAATTATCTATTACCCCCAAACCCTAAATAAAAACCTTCTGTTTATTTTCGTTTTACCCCATATAACTATTATAAGCAAATAAAATAATTCTATTCCCATTTTATATCATTGTGTGTTAAAAAAAACATTGACATATATACAAGTGACATTTGTGTTAAATTTTCAACACCACTTAATGCACGATTAATAAACCAACTAATGGATGATATTTACACAATTATTCCAATGAAATATTATAAACACTTTTGCATTTTTCACTTTTAGCTACACATTCACGATCAATAGGTTTTTTTACGATTTATTACACCAAGTCGTATATAGATGAACAAAATGGCGACATTTGATACAGAGACACTCTGGCGGTAATTAGGGTAACTATTGTTGGGCAGCGGTAAATTCGAATTTGAAATTGAAAAATGGAATGGAATGTTAAGTGAAAATATAAATGATAAATAAATAAATAAATAAATAATATATATATTTATATATATATATACTAGCTGGCCCGGCAAATGTTGCTTACTTTTAGTTTAAATAATATTTTTAGATTACTTTTAGTATAAAAAATATCTATTTTTTTATTTTTATTTATTTAACTGTGGGGATCAAGCAGGCTGGTCATGTTTGAGTAAAAACATTTGGACTTGTCATTTTATATTTTTTATATCAGAATATTTTATAATGAATAAAATTTATATATTTTTTATACGTTGGGAGTTTATAATTTAATATATTTTCATAATAATTACAACTCCCACAAAACAATAATATATTTAATGCAAGATATGTTTTTAAATTGCAAAAATAAACTAGTTATATATGGCATCATGTCTTAAGGCAAATTCTTGATATTTCCCGTACCAAATTGAAAATTTGTTTTACTTTCGATATTCAAACAAATTTTTTTTTGAAAATGAAAAAAAAAATTTTTGAAAGAAAATATTTTCTTCCCAAAAACGATCGTTTCGACAACACAAGCGGAAAGTTTTTTGAATCATTCAAATCGGACGCTTAGTTCACTCAAAAACTGTCATTTTTTGCACATTTAGCTCTGTATCTTCGAAATGGCGGAACCTGTCTTTTCCAAAAACTAATCACCTCTTCTCCCAATTATTACAAATTGAAAGTTTTTTAGATCATTAAAATCGGATGCCCCGTTCTCTTAAAAACACGATTTTTATTTTCTGCACTTTTTGCTCCGTATCTCCAAAACGGCTAGACCTGCCTTTGCCAAAAACTAATAAGCACATCTTTTTATAAATAGAAATCGAAAGCAAAAATGTTCAGAAACCTTTGAAACGTAGAAGATATGCAAACATTTTTAATTCGATTTTTCAAAAGTTTCAATTCAGCGATTTTTAGACAATTACAATAACTTACCCCACAAAAAATGTATATTTAATGGAATTCATATATATTATTTATATAAAAATAATTTATCAACAGATAGATTTTGTTTACTCAATTTTGCAATGTCAAATAAATGAACTACATTTGTTTTACAAAATTTGTATTCATTTTGTTTTTACATCAGCACAAAAATTTATTTAACACAAATGCATTTTTTCCAAATATTTTTAACGTAATTATCATTTCACTCTGCATATACAGAAAACAATAAATGTTTCAACAGGATCCCAAAAAAATTATAAAAGTAATCCAATCCAAATTTATGGACTGTACCGCAAGACCATACATTCAGAATATGTCATAGCAAACTATGATAGGTTCTAAGGGCATGGACATCAATCGGCTGCATCAATTGGAGAAGACAAGTATTACAATAAAATTTCCGAAATAAAGTTTACCCTTGTAGAACCAGAATCAATCGGCAGTAATGAACCAATTGATGGATGATCCAAAAAATATGACACCAGGAACTTGGTGAGCGTACACTCCAAATAAAGAAGTCCTAATAATCCATGAGAAACATTATCATAATGTTTGACCTACGTAGAACCAGAATCAGGATGGTATTGGGGTACCAAATTGATGGGTTCTCTGGAGAATAATCCAAAAAGTATGACACCAGAAACTTGGTGAGCATACACTCCAAATAAGGCAGTCCTAATAATCCACGAGAAACATCCTCTAATGGTGATCCTTGTAGAACCAGAATCAATTGGCAGTGACGAACCAAATTGATGGAGGATTATCCAAAAAATACTTCAGGAACATGGTGAAGACAAACTATGGCACACACCAAATGATCTTTTGTTTGTCTAATAATCGTCTAATGGTGATGCACGTGGAACCAGACTCAAGAAGAAATTATTTACCAAATTCATAGGTTCTCTGGTAGATGATCCAATATATGACAGCGGGAACTTGGTGAGGACAAACTATCGACTCGACTACGATGATTCATGCAGAACCAAAATCAAGAAGTAATCACTTACCAAATTCAAGGGTTCTCAAAAGTACAATCCAAAACCTGATTGGGTGAGCAAACTATCCTAGAAATCTGACTCCTTTGTTCCAAATGAAGAAGTACAACCACAACCACAAGAAGGTTTTCTGGTAGATTTTATAAGGGATCTTGGTACTTCTGGATGGAGCAGCCTTTGGTGTGGAGTTCAAAAGATTAAATTTGATTAGTTAAATTCACACTCATAGTAATTGGGTCCATCGAAGATTTAAGAAGACTTCATGTTTTAGGAATCAAATGAATATACTTCCTCGTTGGTTAGATGAATTCTTGCCTAACAATAATTGGATCCATCGAAGATTAAGGTTAAAAGACTTCATGTTTCAGGAATGAATATACTTCCTCGTTGATTTTATAAAGGATCTTGGTACCTCTGGATGGAGCAGCCTTTGATGTGAAATTTAGAAGATTAATTTTGATTAGATGAATTCTTTCCTGACGATAATTGTGTCCTTTAAGTAGATGGAAGTGGTTGGAAGTTTCCAAAATCTATTTGGAAGTAACAGGTTTTCCTTTTGTCGTCATCAATTGGCTATGTGGGGTAGCAAATTGATGGATATCTTTTTTATCTAAGACGGTTAACTGCAATGACAAGTGTCTTGGAAAACAACTGTTTTGTGAAGACTTCCAACAACCTAGATCTATTAAATAAACATTTTTACATTGGATATATTTTATGTAAATATAGTGAAGAATTATGTGTGAGTTTTTCTACCCTAGGGTATTCTACCCAAAAATTTCTAGTTTTATATTACTTCCATTGACTATTAATAGTCAATATAAATTTATATTTATACAATTTTTTATACATTAGAAAAGGACAAAAAAAGGAGAAAAGTACTATTAAATAAATTAACTGTATTTAATTTTTATGTATTTTTGAACCAGGAACTAAAAAATAATTTACCACAATTTTATTTGTATTTAATTTTATGTATTTGTTTTCGATAATAAATTTTATTCTTACCTATTGTTTTTTTATATCTGTGTTTTTTTAGCGGATTTAAATTTACAATTTGGAAAATTTTGGTTTCATTAAATTTTGTCTAAAATTTATTTTTTATAAAAATATTGATGACTTGTTAGCGTTCTTTTGTTTTTGTATAAAAATTACATGAGCACTTTAGATGAGGAAATTTAGGTTTATACATTTGTTTTTCACTTTGTGAGCATAAATTTAAACTAGGCTTGAGGAAAATTGCTGGAATTCCTGCAGCGTATAATGAAATGTTTGGGGAATATTAAATGTTTTCAAATATATTATTACAAATTCTGTAACTTTCATTATTTTTGCTATCTTGTTATATCTGACAATGAGCAAATCAAATGTAAATCATAAATCAATCAATTTATCTCCAGAACATTAACAATCATCATTTCATTTCGAATTCAATTTAAAAAAAAAAAATAGTTGCTTAACTGTGCTTAGCTTGCCGACATTTTCAAATTTTTTAATAGTTTTCACAAAATTGAAAAAGTGCTCCAGTACTAAACCCACTTGGGTAACATTTGTACCAGGGTGGCGATCAGACTGTGCTTAGCCTGAGTAATTTTTTGAATTTTTAATCCAAAATTACAAAATATTTTATGAAAAATAAAAAATATGAAATAATTTTTTATCCTCGAAAGCAATTGTTTTGTCAATACAAGCAGAAAGTTTTTTAGATCATTCAAATCGGACGCTTAGTTCTCTCAAAAACTCGATTTTTATTTTCGGCACTCTTTGCTCTGTATCTCCGTAACGGCTGGACCTGCCTTTGCCAAAAACTAATCAGCACATCTCCCTATCAATAGGGATCGAATGTTTTTTAAACCATTAAAATCGGTTGAACCTTGCGCCCGAAAACGTGAACGAAAAAATGTTCAGAAACTTTTAAAACGTAAAGGTATTTAAATTTTTGAGAGAACGGAGCATCCGATTTGAATAATATAAAAAAAATTAAATTTGTAATGATGAGAAGTGGTGATTGGATTTTGACAAAGACAGGTCTAGCCGTTTCGGAAATACCGAGCTAAATGTGCAAAAAATTGCTGTTTTTAAGAAAACTAAGCATCTGATTTGAATGATTCAAAACACTTTCTGCTTGTTTTGACTAAAAAAATTTATTTAATTTTTTTGTATATCGAAAATAATTATTTTAATTCTAGCTAAAGTTCTAAAGCACACTCATAAACTTTAAATAAATAATTTTAACTTAGTAATTCAGTTTATATAAATCTTATAAATATTCAACAATGTTACATTATTTATAATAATCTATTTGAAAACATTTAATATTCCTCGAATATTTCATTACGGTACGGGAAGTTCCAGCAATTTGCCTTGAGGCACGATGCCATACACCACTAATTTAAATTTTGTGCTCATAACAAATGTATAAAACCTAAATATCCTCATCCAAAGCGCCCATATAATTTTTATTCAAAAACAAAAGAAGGGCCATCAAGTCGTCAAAACACATTTATAAAAAATAAATTTTGGACAAAATTTAATCAAAACCAAATTGTAACCCAAATTTTCTAAATTGTACAGTTAAATCCGCTAAAAAAAACACACTGATACTAAAACCAATAGGTGAGAATAAAATTTATTATTAAAACAAATACATAAAAATTAAATACAAATAAAATTGTGGTAAATTATTTTTTAGTTCCTGGTTCAAAAATACATAAAAATTAAATACATTTAATTTATATAATAGTACTTTTCTCCTTTTTTTGTTCTTGTCTAATGTATAAAAAATTGTATAAATATAAATAGTCAATGGAAGTAATATCAAACTAGAAAATTTTTAGTAGAATACCCTAGGGTAGAAAAACTCACACATAATTCACTGTATTTACATAAAATGTATCCAATGTAAAATGTTTATTTAATAGTTCTAGGTTGTTGGAAGTC